CCCCGTACAGACAGCAGCAGTCCGTGAAGATGACTGAGCCCCCAGGAGAGGACTCTGACACACCAGGTCCGCTGTGACGTGCTGCCAGCAGAGAGACAGGTTCTCGTCTGGGGGGTCAGATACATCACTTTACCTCAGTGTAGAAATACTACACACAAGTAACATTCCTGCATTCAGTACCAAAAGCATCAGCATCCAAATGTACGTCTAGTAATATTTCATATAGGATGAAGGGATGGAGGTAGCATACGGACGCTAACTTAGCTTAGCATGGACAATGTAAACGTTAGAGCTAGCAGGAGCAGCAGGAGGAGGAGGAGCAGGAGCAGGGGGAGGAGTCTTACCCCCGGGCAGGTGGGAGGAGTTGACACAGTGTCGCTGTGTGTCGTCCAGCTGCAGAGGAGGAGCACAGCTGCAGTAATACGAGCCCACGGTGTTCACACAGGCTCCGCCCACACAGCTCTCCTCCTCGCACTCATCGTGATCTGACACACGACAACCGTTACTCATTGTTATTCACTATCCCGTCTAACTCATTAAGACACGAAGCACAGTGTGTGTCCGTATGGATCCGTGCGTGCGTTGTGCGTACCGACACACTCCAGCAGCGTGTTGTTGTACACGTATCCACTGGGGCAGTAGCAGTTGTATCCGGGGATGTTGTTGACACACACGCCGTTCTTACAAACCTCTGGATGGAAGCGCTTACACTCGTCCACATCTGGAGCTCACATGGTCAGATATTACAGGTTATCTCCGGGAAAGGGTTGCCGTGGTTACCAACCACTACACATAAATGTCCAGAGTTCTGATACTTTAGCTGGGAAATGTAGCAATAGGATGAATTCATAGTTAATATGATTGATTTGAATTGACCAATAACGTTTCATGTTTTAATAAACACCAGTTCATGTTGTTTAAAGAAACTAAAGTACAACGGCAGCTGAGGTACAAGTACCTGAGTAAACGTGTACTTGTACCTGTGTAGCTGAAGGCTCCTGGTCCCGTGGTGACGTATCCTCTCCCACTGGGACACAGAGAAGGGAAGTGGACTGAAAGACACAGAGACACTTTAAAGAGACACTTCAAAGAGACACACAGAGACACTTTAAAGAGACACACAGAGACACTTATACATCCATATTTTTTCGGTGTAATTTTTTTCTTTTTTCCAAAAATCTACGGAAATAATAATCAGCGTCAAGAAGGAAACTTAATATTTATTATTAAAACATGAACATTGTCTGTTTCCTCATTAAACCACAGCCTGCCTTCTGTGGTTTAATGAGGAGGAAACGGGAGGAGAAGAGGAGAGAAGAGAGGGAAACGGGAGGAGAGGAGGAGAG